AAATTACACTGGTCTACAAATTTCAACTTTTTTTCTGCGAATAAGACGGGACCTGGTGTTTCTGAACGGATTTTTCGTGCTGAACACGAATCCGGGGTCAAAAATGTCCCATCACGTCACGTTTTCGAGAAAAAAGGGGTTGAAACCCCTAAAAACAGCGTTTTTGGCCATTTTCGAAAAATTATAGAGCTGAACCCTGACGTGGTACAAATTTTGCATATATCAGAAATTAAAGGCTAAACGTGCCCTTTCGAATGAGCCTTATGCCGAATTGATCGCGTGCACCCTTAAAGCAGGGGGTGTATTTGTGTTTAGGGGTGCAGGAAAAATTGATCACAGAAAGAATTTAATCTTAAACGATCATAGAAAATTAATAATGCCAAGGTTTTAACTATATTAAAAGTCGCTGATTACGAATCTGCAGTTAGATTTTAAAAATTTAAGATGACGGGTCGAATATGGTGGATATAAAAATTTCACTCCTAGACACAAATACAGCCCCTGATCTAAGGGTGCATGCGATTAATTCGGCATAGGGCTCATTCGAAAGGGCACGATTTAGCCTTTAATTTCTGACATATACAAAGTTTGTAGCACGTCAGGGTTCAGCTCTACAATTTTTCAAAAATGGCCAAAAACGCTGTTTTTTCCTGCACCCCTAGACACAAATACACCCCCTGCTCCAAGGGCACATGCGATCAACTTGGCATAAGGCTCATTCGAAAGGGCACAATTTTACCTTTAATTTCTGACATATGCAAAGTTTGTAGCACGTTAGGGTTCGGCTCTACAATTTTTCGAAAATGTCCAAAAACGCTGTTTTTAGGGGTTTCAACCCCTTTTTTCTCGAAAACGTGACGTGATGGGACATTTTTGACCCCGGATTCGTGTTCAGCACGAAAAATCCGTTCAGAAACACCAGGTCCCGTCTTATTCGCAAAACCCTTGTAGACCAGTGTTATCCATTCCTAGCGCATTATATTATTTAGGGCCCATTACGTACACATGTATGTACGTATATGCATACATACATATGTATGTATGTATGTGTATTTCATTTACAACTACTACATGCAATTAACTAACTTATAATTGTAAATATCTATTGTCTATTCTGTATTTAATTCGTATGAAATAAATTCTGGATTTTGAAGACCACAAGGTTTGCATTTTATAACGAATAATTTTTTATTATTAAGATATGTATACTTATGCTTATTAATTTCCAGTAAATTTATCGAATTGTTTGCCGATATCTTAATCAAAATATAGTTTTTCCCAATATATTCAACCTTATTTATACACGCTAATAGTATTTCGTTATATTTTTTACATATAACTATATTTATAAATATTCTTATCGCGATTATTATCGGAGAGTTCATGGAAATATTTGTACATTTCGTCATCGATATATGTACAAAGGTGCAAATATTTTTAACGATTTATTACATGAAATTATTACAACTATTAACTCCAATATAGTAGTCCAACGTAGTTGTCGTTATAAATTGATATTTTAATCGAAATATATTATCTTTTATTATTGCAAGCTACCTTTATACTTTCAAATAGCTGTTTTAATAATTTCTACATGTATCGAAATTTTTTATCGAGATCATTATCGGAACATTTGTTGGAATACTTAGGCATATTGTTAACGTTTTATTGCGTTCAATGATTACAATTTTTATCGACATCGTTATAGATACATTGATTTATACTTTTATCGAATTTATCATTTATGAATTATTACCGACATAACTATACTAATCTAAGTAGATATTAATATCTAAGCAAAAAATAATATTTATAACAATGAGTATTTATCGATATCGTGTTTATCATTACCAAGTATTTATCAGTATCATTTTGAATTCAAATTTTTCCATATTTTGATATCGTTTGGATATTCGATTAATTTTTACTGTCACTTATATACTTTAGCATCTGTCAAAATCCATATCGATATGCTTATCGATATATATATTTTGGGACATAATTATAGATATTTTGATGTATATTATTATAGGATTTATCGAATTCGTTATCGACATAAGTATATCTTGCCAATATAAATATATTTATCTTTAACGGTATCGATGAATTTGTGAAAATAATTACTCGTATCGCTATCTCTATATATATGTATGTGTAGTTATCATTATTTATGTATTGACGGATACTATCGCGATATTTATAGAGATTTTATCCATATTTTTATTTAAAAAAAGAAACAGTCCAGAAAAATTTAAATAATATAATATAGGTAATATTTATATACTAAGCACACATTTTTTTATTCTAAATACATGCATGTTTGCTTGCCCCTTTTAAGATATAAAAAAACATTTTTTTATTATTCATTCATATTTTTTGCTTGCTCGTAGGTGTAAAAAAACGTGGCATATCCTTAAATTCTAATTTTGAATCTTTTGTTTCTACATATTTCTTTCTCTCTGCTCCACAAAGATTTAAACAAACCCGAATATCAAGTCTAACCACGATACTTATTGCCATACTACACTGGATCTGGCCACCGGATCGATGCACCAACTGCCACTCCATCTACAGTGCGCCACACTTGGAGGAGGACGGCGCGCGTGATCTCCACTCTGTTAGTCAAATTCAGCGCTCAGTCGACGGACGCTTCGTCATCGCTGGCACAAAGACGGGCAGCAATGGCAAACTCAATGCGCTTACCAATGGCATCGAACTGGACGGCATCGATGAAGTGGATGCAACTCCGACCAGCCGCAATAGCCACGCATCCCAAAACTCTTCCAGCGATGACGGTGGTTTTCTATCGCGTCGCAACTTCATTACAGCACGCGCCTCCTGGCGTCGCCCTATCGTCGCAGCACCCTCGCAGCTGAGCTTGCAATCAGCTGTCGGATCGGCACGTGGTTTCCTGCAGGGTCTAGGTGGTTTACTGCGCGTAGGAAGCAATAGCGCCGTCGGTGGCAGCAATAATGGACTGACAGGTTTTACAGCAGCTAACGTGGCATCTGCTACGGGGGAAGATGTGGCCGGCAATACAGGCGCACGCTACCAGAACATCTATCGTGGACACTATGGACACAATATTTACCGAAACCTGCAGCCAGCACAACCTGCAAGCCGTCCCTTGCATATCAACACTTTGAGCGGTGGTGGTATGCTATTCGGCGGTCATCAGTATCACCAGCAGCACGTGCATGGACTGAACCTAACACCCAATATTTATACACCCTCGCGCATCTCTCGCATTTTCTCCAGCTCTCCGGCGAGCACGCCAAACGACACGCTGGGTGGCGGCACACATCATCACATCGGCGGCGGTCTCAACGCAGGGGCGCCGCTTGGCAGTGGTGGCTTCCTCAGCTCGCCGTGGTCAATGGCTACACCCGGTAGCGGTCACATGCACACACATTTTAGCGATTTGAGTAGCGTATACCCAAGCTCAGCCGAACGCTCGTTGCCCACACTGTCAGCCACCAGTGGCAATCTCAGCCGATACCGTTACTATGCACAAGAGCTACCATCGCTGCGCACCATACAAGAGGAAACACGGCGCTACAACCAGCAGCAGCAGCAAGAGGAGCAGCAGCAACAGCAACAACAGGATTTGCTTACGTCAGATGGGTTTGTGCCACTGCAAATACCCTCACCGCCCGCATGGCGCAACTACTGCAGCACCCAACTGCCATATCATAGCTACCGTCCGCGCACGCGCTGGTATCCCCGCCATTACGCGCGACTCTTTGGACGCACACACCCCGAACAAATGTCACCGCTGCCACATTTAAACCTCACGCTGCGCTCGGCGTCAGTTGGCGCCATGGGGCTCGAAGCATCACCAGAGTCCCGCTCCAGCTCAAGTGGCTTCGGCTCGAAAAATACCTCCAACCACCCGCAAGGATCTCATCACTCTGGTAGCACCAGTGAATGGCGATTACTGCCACCATATCGACCACCACCACCGCCACCGCTCAGCAATAGCGCCTACTTCGGTCTAGCGCAACCAAGTTTGCACCAGCAGGCGCAGGGACAAGCGCCAGCCAGCCACCACCACCAACAACTACACCATCCATCTCTATTCGGTTCAAGCTCATTACTCTACTATCCTCACTACAGCAGCGCGACTTCTGGCAGTCTGCAGCAACAACACCATCACCACTACCACCAGCAGCAGCAGCAAAGACAAACAACGCCACCCTACACAATGGAACACTGGCTGGGTATGATCTCAGACCTAAACGCAGCCACCGACAATGTTAATCTACCGAAATCGGTTGATGTGGGCAGTGTGGATGGCCACTACGAATTTGACCCGGCGACGCCAACGCCCAGTGTATCCACACCTACAGGCGGCCTGTTTCGCGAAGATCTCAATCTGCATGTAGATACAACCGGCCATCATACGATTGATCCCCTAAGCAGTGGCGGCATTTTCCAACACGCTACCAATAGCGCGCTTACGTCAGGCGCAGCGACGTATGGCGGTCCAATGCGGAAAACACGTTTCTCACGCTATGACAATGTAGACGCGCGACTGCAGGCGATGCGTGAAGAATTCTACGAGTATCGCAAGCGACAGGCCATGCAACAGGCGGGGGTGGCGGAGTTGGAGAGTGTTTGCTGATAAGGGGATTGCAAGATTTGTGAGTAAGTATCTAAAACGTGTGTGTATAATTGCGTAGGCAATTCGGTAGTTACGTATGCATGTGTGTATGCGTGTAGTTATAGCAATAAGTAGAGTGTTGGGCTAAGTTTAGGGAAGCTTAAAATCAAATATGCTTTTTTGTTTGGAAAAACTGTACGATTAGAATTGGGAATATTGCTTTCATTAAAAAAGAGCCGCAAAAGGTAGCGTTCATAAGAGAGTATGATGTAAAATGCAAGCGTATATTTCTTACTGCCCATAACAAAAGATTATAGAAAAACACACAAAATTCAAGCACACTTCAGTTTAGTTGTTTTATTTTTTAATGGTAGCTGTTACTAAATCTAGAACTGATAGTTGATTAATTTTTCAATTGATCGGATTTGGCACTCAATATGAAGTAATGTTAGACATTTCGAATGTACTTTTACCATTTCAATTGCCTTCTTGGTTATTTAGGAATAAATAAGCCCTTGAAGTCCTTTAGTTCTAAAAGAAATATTACTGCTAATACCCTCAGAGATGTATACTACAATTTAACACACTTCTTATGTGATGCTTTCAACCTTTGATAAACCAACAAATAGTCAATCGAAAATGCAGGGTTCGTTTACCGCAATGAAACTGAATTATCTGCTGTAAATCTTCGAAAAGGCTACTTTGTTAAAAAAACTATCTATAGGAAAATATTATACATAGATCCATTTTGATTCAACAACGCATGCAACCTACGGCCACTTGGCGGCTTTTATAATTACAGTGCGTCATACAGAGAGAGGGAAGCTCCACTTTAAAATATTCTGCAGGAATGGCTTACAGAGTGTTTTTTAGCCTCATTCTTGCGAGGGCTGGACACTCGCAATGGAAGTGTTTGACTGCCCGTTTTGAGTCTGGATCGTCGCTATTGCGGCAAAACCTACTGATGGACAATCCAATCCTTTCGGCATGTACCCCAACGCGCCAGTGGCCTAACACGCTGCAGTAAGTTTGTAGGCATCGTCATTGCTCATTCGTAAGAGAGCTTTGTTCTAAGTGAGTAGTGGGAAACCCATAACTGCCGGGTAACCCTAAACGATCCTGTACGGTTCCATCTCTGCTTGGAGTTCGAGTGATACATTTTGGTAAATTTTGCTATATCTTCCTGGGCGAGGCGCCATTAATATGCAAAAATATTCACTAACGATTGAATGCCATTTTAAAGGAAATTTTATGAGTCGTAAAGAAAACTTAACCATTTCCATTTGAAGATGCCCAATAAAACATGCATTTGCATGAGATTCCGAACCCTACTGATAACCTCTGAACTAGGAGGTGACGATAGTAACTTTGGAAAATGAGTGATGCAGCACTGGGCCCAGTGACGAAACAGTTACGAGGACGCGAAATTTCAAAATTCTTAATAAAATATTTCTATTTTAGGTGAGGCAAAAATTGCCATTGAGCTCCCCGAAGTAAGTTCTTGTAACCTGAGATAACTAGGAAATCTGTGTGAAACTCTTTCCCTGAACCAATATTTCAACTTTTGTTTTCAATTAACATCTGCGACTATCGGTCCACATTAAAACGAGTTTTCAACTGTGTAATACCTTCCCATTGAAGCGAGTGATCGAATGTAGGAAGACTCTAAAATTGTTAGCCGTGACGTTTTCTGGGATTGTGGAGAGAGCTCCCGAGTGATATTCAATCTCTATAAACTACGAAGAGGGCGCTAACATAAAGTTAGAAATGAACCTCAGTTAACCATTTGTTTAAAGCGTACATTCTCCAAAAACAAAGGTGTTTGCTAGAGATTTCCCATACTACTAGTTCACCTTAATGCAGAGCATAATATTTGGGTTGGGTTTTTGATAGGCTTTAGTGGGTTGCCCGGGTTTCAATATATATGATTATGGCCTTATGATCAATATGTGTGTAAGCATTGCTTATAAACCAATTTGTAATTCTGCTTAGCCATCCACTTATAAGGAGCTAATTGGTGTCAGTCTGGTCAAGCAGCGATCCATGTTATCAAGCACAAGGTCGAAACCGGTATCCACAGACTGTCTGCAGCATCACACTGTACGGGTTTCAACTTTCTCTAAAGCATTAATGCGCTTAAATATGGTTTCGTAGAGGAGGTAAAGAAATTAAATGAGAAGTGTCCCATATCTTAGCCATCACTAGCAGTAAAGATCCATTGATGCCTTTTCCACGCTCACCTCAATATTAGGCCTCCGAAACCGTTTTCCATCTCGAATCAAGCGCTAGTACTTGACTATGTCGAAGAGCGCCAATCGAGCGTCTATAATTCAGCTAATAGTCACATGGGGTGTCTTGTATGTAATTCCTTGCGAAAAAAAAATGCATTTTATCTTACAAGGATTCTCAGCGAATCCACCGTGCGCACGAAACTTTCTCCTCAGGTTCAAGAATACTTGGGACTTATCAAGGCTCATACTTCAGAAATTTAACCCTCACAGAAAATGTAACCTCAGCCTCCCTCGGCAGAGTCTAATTTTCAATCCAGCTCTAGCAGGTTTTTTACAACCACAAACCAAATAAGGAGCGAGAACACAACACCCTGTGGCATGCCATTGTTCACCGTAAGCTTTTGGGTGCAACTGCTCTACTCCGTCCGACAGTTTTGTTGTAGAGCTTGCGATTTATGAGCTGAACAATGTCGGTTTCGACCTCAAGCTTACAAAGGAATTTGAAGATTGCCACCAGAGGTACATTGCTAAAATTTCTGCTCGACACGAGAAAAACGCTTGCAGTGAAGTCTTTATGATTGAGGGCTTTCTCTACTGGCTTCACGATCGTATATAGAGCGGTCTAGAGCGAACACGTGTAGTTCTCACTTCAGATGTGTAGATCAGCCCACATTTTTAAAGATATAAGCACGAACGTAGAGATATAATTGTTCTGAAATGATTGAGAGGGATATGAGTGTTTTTGATGGTCTTCGGTATAAACGTCAGCCTGACAATTCTTCAAGCTTTGCGCGCCCTCATTCGCCATTAGAATGTTGTGAGCCACGACAATGGTTAATTTTCTTAAAACTAAAAAATAACTAAAAAAAGCACGGCGTAAAGACTCCTTTTGGTTCTTCGTAAGCTCGATTTATAAAGCTCAATATTTTGGATGCATGTCACCTCTTCGGCTTGCAGCTCGTTAAATTTTTCGTTTGCCCAGCGTTTTGCGCTCGTACTTTTCTATATGGTAGATGAAAATTATTTAATTTTTTTTCTGAAATGTGAAAAGCAACAAAAGCACCATGCAAATTTCCTTTCATCTATATAGCAGCTTTCGCAATGCCCCTTTTTAAAATCAAAAAAATAAAATAAATAAAAATGGCCAAACTCATAATTCCGTCTGTGGAAGTAGCGAAAGTTTCTCTCAATTTAATACAAGCAAAGGAATTTGCTGTAATTGTAATTTAAAAAGGAAAAAAAGCATAATTTAAGTGGCTGTTTAAGGTAATAAAACTACACGAAGCATTCATGTAAATATTATATATACACTAAGTCTACTCTAGAGCAACAATAAAAAAAGTAAATATTTAAGTTAAACGAATTGTATTGAGCAGGAAGTGAATAAATATGCAAAAATATAGCAATTATAAAGACATATTAAAAGTAATTTACAATTAAAAAATTCAAAATAAATATTAAAAACAAATTTACTTTAAGAAATTTAAGAATATAAATAATAAAATTTATCAAACCATAAAATAATACAAAAAAAGAACATAGTTAAAAATAGCAACTTAATTAAATTAAACAAATTAAAAATAAATCAACGGACTCAGTTATAAAATGTGTTAAACATTTGGGGGTTTAACTTAATTAAGTAACAAAAAAAAACTAACTTTCAAAACGACTCAAGCAAACAGCATATAAAAATAAATTTACTGATTGTTTGCAGTGATAAGTCGGAAAGATGAGCAAACACAAAAGTTATAAAGTAGCTAAAAAATAAAAGAAAATATATGAAAAAGTTTTAAGTGAGTTTCCCCGTACTAACGAATGTGAAAAATTAATCTAAAAACATACATACTTTAAGTAGTTCAATATGTATTGAAGGAAAAAAATTATAATTTAAAAAACACTAAATACGACGAAAAAGCAAAAAGAAACACAAAAAAGTAAAAATAAGCTAGTTGACTAAATATTAAAAGGACAGAAAGAAGTACGTATGTGTAAGTAAGTAAAACAACAAATAAATAAATAATAGTTACTGCATATAAAATTTAACTGGTGAAAAATTAAGCGTCTTAAACATAAATACATATACAATAAAAGATAATTTAAAGTGAGATTTTTTTGTAGGTGCACATTGCAAATTACTAAGCAACAAAAAAATTACAACTGATGAGCAAATAGCAGTAACGAAAATTAAAAAAAAAATAAAAATATCTAGAAATCATCAAAATTAAAAATTTTAAAATGCAGAATTTCTCATTTATTTATTATGTAAAATAGTAGCGCGTTGAAGAAATTATGGATAGAGGCGAAAAACTAACAAAAACAAGCTAAATTACTTTAACAAAGATAAGTAAAGAAAATTAAAAAGTACACAATTGTCACAAATAAATTTCTAAACTGCACTTTTTTTGTGTAGAGAGTTCTAAATAACAGCTAACGTTTCTTTACTTAGAATTATTCGTATGAGAAAACAAAAAAAAAAATAATCTGTATAAACAAAAAAAAATATTAATATGTATAAACACACTTTGAAAAAAAAAATTAAGAAAAATAATAGTATATTGACATGTACCACAATTTTTTTTCCACTTATTCTTTATTACGTCATACATTGTAGAATTTTTAAACACATTTAAACTCTAAACTTATGATTTCCTTTTTTTAATTTTTTTTCATTTTTGGAATTATCATTTTAATTTCACTCTAAAGCTAAGAAAAAACGCTATAAAAAACTGTTAAACAATGATAAATCAATGTAAAGTAAGCAACAAAAATATTTATTGAACGGAAAGGTTTGACACAACTCGACGCCAAAACACTGCCACAGCGAAGAGGGGGGAAAGACGGACACAGAGCGTGATAAAGCAGTAAGCGGCAAACGTGATGCGCACGCACACATATTTAGATGCAAAAATTTGTACGCTGACCTTTTTTCTTAAATATTTGTTAGCAGTTTTTTTTT